AATTATTCTTCAATTAAATAAGCGCAACTTATAAATGCATAGTTAATTAATGATTTAGTCTGGGGAACAGAAAAATAAAACAACATCTTAGATAATCCAATTATTGCACAGGCGTAATATTTGAAATTCCAGTGCTATATATGAACTAACATATTTAAACATGCACATTGCAGCATGTGATGAACGCTATTTTTTATTCCTATTACTGTACGGTCCTTTGACATAAAACCTCACTTGAGCTTAGCTTTGTGAATACATATGAGACATGGTTTGTGTTGTCCTGCTGTTCGAGATTGCTATTGTGTGTGCGTGATGTATGTTGTGATTGGCTAACACACGCGTGCAGCATTCACGCTGCTTGTGAGTGGCAGCAGCTTCGCGGTGAGAGGAGTGGTGCTGCAATGGTCCACTCGTTAATTAGCTGGTCATGAACGCAACACTGCATTGCTAATAGGCTCCTGTGTAGTTTGCATGCATGATGACAAAAACATAAATCCACGAAATATAATCTATGAAAAAAAACTATAAACTATGTTTTATTTTACCAGGTGTAGCTCTTTTTTAGAAGCGACCTATCTATCACAAATAATAGCTTAACGAAGTGGCTTATCATGTAGAAATGTATCACGGTCAAATTGTATAAATGTGTGTTGTTTCTAAATGTGGAGGGAAAAACCGGAGGACCCGGAGAAAAATCCATGCGACCACGCAAACTCCAAATATACAGCAGGCGTCATGGTCGGGATCGAACACACGACCATCCTCCATACCAGGCGAGGTAGTTAACATCTCGCCACCGTGGCGCCCTACAGCGAGCAAAGGGCGTGCATGTGTGGGCGAATATCATCTGTCCATTTTGTTTGGGTCACAGCATTGCCCCATTTGAACGTGTTGGGTTTTCTTAGGGTGCCCCGGTTTCCACCCACATGATGTATGGACACTCATTAATTGCCTGAAAAATCTTAATCGAGTGGACCGCACAGTTTGGGCACATTTTTTGGTGCTGGCTCACCGCCTGGCCTTCGAGCCTTTGTGGTTCCGCGACGATTGTGCAACGCAGCATGCACGATCGATGGAATGTAGAATTATATATCACGACACTTGGCCTTTGGGCACCGCACCACTGTGATGACTCCGTCAAAGCTAAGTGTCAGACTTTCAGTCGGTTACAACTTAGGGCCTGTTGAAATATGGCTGCAAATTGAGACATTTAAGGCTTGATTGCAAGATATCCTACTGATGATTACACATGCGATATGTTTGTGTGGTGTGTGTTCGTCTAAATGTGTGTATGTGAGGCAAGGCCTCTAAAATGTTCCAGTTTATAAAATGTCTTGCAAAATCTCTGCCAACCAGGGCTTAATTCTTCATGCATGGTGGCAGAAGTGGGGAGGGACACATTTTGGACAGCTCTTGCTAAAATTATTTACCAATATTAAGGCAATCCCATATAATTATATTTTAGTTGGTTTAGTTCGTAATTGCACACTTTCAATTCGTTTACTTTTTCTTGCATTGATTTTCTATACATACAAATTGTTATTTGAGTCATTATTTCTTTGGGTGATGAATAAACAAAAAATGATAGTATGAAAACATAAGAATAGATTTGATCCTTTCTGGCAATAAAGCAGGTGTTGAGATACTCTTTGGGTCTTTCGGGAAAGTCATGTAGATAGAAAAATAAAAATAAAATTCACGACGTTTTGATCGCAACACAAGCAATGACCTGAGGACGATTGTGTTTAAATCGAAACGTCGTTATTTAAAAAAAAAAATTCAACGACGTGACTTTACCGAAAGACCCAAAGAGTATGAATTCCTGCAGTCACGAAAGCTTTAAGTCAAGGTGTTAAGATGTTCAAACACCAAATATAAACACTTTGCACCTGTTTTATTGTCAGAAAGCTTCAAACCTATTCTTATTTTTTCATACTTTGATACTGGCAAAAAATGTCCCAAAATGATAGTAGTTGTGATAACTGCATGATTTGAATTTTTTACGAAAGAAAATATTAAATAAATAAATACGGCGTGTCTCAAATAAAACCTAAAATTAAAAAAGTCAATGAACATAAATGCGTAGTCTCATGCAACCCAATGTGAAAAACGGTTCTTTTACATTGTATAATGTCAACTGGACTGACGTATTTACACGCGCTCTGGGATTATATGTACACACATCGTTGGGCATGTGATGTTAATGATGCACTTATTTATTAATCTTAAAAAAAAGTTTGTGAAGTGAAAAACACTTTCTTGGCTTGTTTTTTTGTACTTTAGTGGAACAGTTGTGTCATTATTTATTAAACAATATGTTTTTTTTTTTTAAATGACGGCGGTGCCTCGATAACACTGCAGTCGTCTGCGGCTTTTAGCCACAAAAAGAAAACACAGCGAGCATTTGCAGACAGGTGGGAGACACTCCCTGTCTGATGGCGTGGAAGTACAACACTAACAAACCAGCTCAGAGAGGGCTCGCTCGCTCGCTCACCACAACTTGAGAGTCTGGTCCCTCTGGCACAAGCAGTCGCTGGTTGAAACTGCAGCTGTTGATTATGAAGAGTTGTCCTTCAATCAAAAACCAGTGCCCTTTTATTTAACCAGGTGAGGGAGAGCACCTGGAGGTTCATTGTACATATTTTTCTTTGCGAGGGAAAACATCGTGGGCGGCAGGGTGGCCCAGCGGTAACCTTCGTGCCTCACAGCGTGAAGGGTCTGGGTTCGATTCTAGACTTGGGTTCCTTTCTGTGTGGATTGTACATTGTAAGATATCTCTATTTGTGCTTCCAAAGGTGCTCGACATGTATCACCAAACAGTACTGGGATAAAAACTCCGATTGTTTCGGCCTCGCTGTGCGCTGCGTTGCACCACTAGCTGAGTAGTTAACCTCGCGTCCAATAAACCCTCAGAGCCAGGATGAACGTCCGACTCCAAACGCCATTTATTGAATTTAACGAGGTAAAACTGGTAAGAAAACAGCACAGATACAGCATCTGTTAATACCCGGAAACACCAACACAATAACATTGTCTTAGATAACATGTTTCTAAACAATAGATCCTGGATGGACCAGGCCCCTACATTACCACTGAATAACTATACAAGAGCATAAGCTGCTGTGTTACGTAAAGGCACATCGTGTATTCATCACACTGCACCCCAAATGTACAGTATTACACATAACACTAAATTATGAATGATATATTTCATCATCCTTGCTCTCAGGATCGCAATATAGTTACTTGGGTACAAGTTTGACTCGACTTATTAAATTACAAGTAACATTCACAATAAGGAAAGTTGCAGGCTTCGTTGTTAACTAGGCCTCGTATTTATCATAACAATTTAACAGCATTATAAAGGCATTTACATCATTATAACGGTCATTCTAACATTATAACAGCATTGCCAATATTATAAGAACATAAACGAACTTACAGACAATGCTTCTTAAAGTCCCACAATGGACAATTGCGGCTGGCTTCACTGGGACGCGATGTGTGCCGCCATCTTGAATTATGTGTGTAATGGCCGACGCCCGCGTGCTTGAGCGGGAATCTTAAATCGCAACTTCCTGGTCACGTGACCAAAATTAGCATCAAGAACAGGAAATTCCTGTGCACATACGCACCCCCATCTGCCGTGAGGCAAAACCCCTGCCGTGAGGCAGAACACCGATCAACAACTGCAGTGGGACCCACGGATGAAAGTTGTACTTAAAGATATTCTGCAAGCCATTCATAACACGATGTAATACAATTTTTGTTCCTGGGTAGAAAGTGTTATTTCGCAATTCCTTAGGCCTAAAATTTTTTTTTTCTATCTACGTGACTTTACCGAAAGAACCAAAGAGTATGGATTCCTGCAGTCACGAAAGGTTCAGATCAAGATTATGCCTAAAAAGTATAGAAAATGGCTATTATTCCCCACAAACTTTGCTTTTGTGACCAGGACAGTGATACTTTGAAATGTAATCATTTTTGATGAGAAAACGGGCGAATTTGTGTCTTTTCGTTCACATTAAGTTAGAAAAAATGACAAGATTCTAAATTAACATGTATTATACAAAAGTATTACAAAATTACTACGAAAAATTTAGAAGTAAGTAGTTTTTCGAGATTTACGATTATACTGTAAATCACTTTCACGAATCAGCCCCCAAATGTAATCTCCCATAAAGTTATTGTTATACTGTCCTTGGTAGCGGCTTTCAAAGTCCAGTATATCCTGGTGGAAGTGCTCGCCTTGCTCCTCCGAGTACGCTCCCATGTTCTCCTTGAATTGATCAAGATGAGCATCAAGTATATGGACTTTGAGGGACATCCTACAGCCCATTGTGCCATAGTTCTTCACCAAAGTTTTAACCAGCTCCACATAGTTTTCGACCTTGCGATTGCCCAGGAAGCCACGAAACACTGCGACAAAGCTGTTCCAAGCCACTTTCTCCTTTCTAGTGAGCTTCTTGGGAAATTGCCCTCCAGGATCTTCTCTATCTGTGGTCCCACGAAGACACCGGCTTTGACCTTTGCCTCAGACAGCTTAGGGAAGAAGTCCTGAAGGTACTTGAAGGCTGCCGACTCCTTATCTACAGCTCTGACAAATTGCTTCATAAGGCCCAATTTGATGTGCAGTGGTGGCCTCAGCACCTTCCGGGGGTACACCAGTGGCTCCCACTTGACGTTGTTCCTCTCCACAGAAAACTCGGTCCGCTGTGGCCAGTCCCGCCTGTGGTGGTGCGCCTTGGTGTCCCTGCTGTCCCAAAGGTAAAGATAGCAGGGAAACTTGGTAAAACCGCCTTGGAGACCCATCAGGAATGACCTCCCAGCCGTACTCATCATACTTCAAGGCGTCCATAGCAAGGTCTTGATGCTGTTGTAATCCTCTGAGGTGCACCGAGTGAGCCAGGGGAAGAGACGGGTACTTGTTACTATTATGGAGCAGCACGGCTTTAAGGCTTCTGGATGAGCTGTCAATGAAGAGGCGCCACTCATTCTGGTTACAGGCGATTCTGATTGCCTCGAACGGACTGGTCACATTGTGGCAAAAACAGAGCCCATCTTCACGGGTGAAGAAGCTGCAAAAACGTTGGTGATGCTTCCTCTGATCTGCGACTTGCACACTTTCATCCAACAAGTTACACTGCTTGACGTCAAAAGCTCGGCATTGGACTTGGTGAGACCAAGATCTCTGATCAAGTCGTTGAGGTCTTTTTGGTTGGGGTAGTATGGTTTTCTCTCCTCAGCTCCACCTCTAAAATTGTCATCTGGATCTTCAACGTCTTCCTCGCTCTCTGACTTGCTGCTCTCTTCTAAAGACGGCTGCTCTCTCTCCGGAGGAGTGGGTATGGGGAGCTCATGGCAGTGTGGCACCAGGGCGATGGATGAAGGAAGGTCTGGACACGTGATAGCAGGTGCATTCTTGCCAGTCTGACGTTTGAAAGGGTCCACCATGCAGAAGTAGCAGTTGCTTGAGTGGTCAGTGGGTTCCGCTAAATTCTTGGGATAGCGAACTTCATGGCTCTTTTCCCCTCTGTACCATCCTACAGAAATTATTTCACCCATGACTAATGGTAAAGAGATTCTCGCAACATTTTTCAAAAATGATAAATTTTTTCAATAACATTGAAAATTGTAAAACATAAAAAAAAAATGTTTTTTTTTTTTTACAAATTTTTACAAATTTATAACATAAAATTCCGAGCAACTATTGTCCATCTTACCTTCCAGAGTTTGTTTGTATTGCTCGCAGGTGAAATGAGGTGCCCAGGGTTTGTCTTGATCCCCGACAGGCATGCCGAGATACGCCTTGTAGGCCTCACACATCTTGGCAGATGCTTCCACAGAGTACTTTTTCGCTCTTGTTTTGATAGATTGGCCGCAGACAAAGCAAAATGCGTCTGCCGGATGCTTGCAGCCTCTTGATGCCATCTCAGAAAAATGCAGATATATATCCACTTAGGCAGCTGGAACTAAACTGATCTGGTGGGCTTAAGGCCCCCGTATTTATACTACTATTTATATTACTGGAAAGTTATATAATGTTCTAGAAGTTACTCCAAGTTTACTCAGCACTGAATCTATCTGGAATGTTCTGTAAAATAGGTAAATTTCTAAATATCAATGTCCTGGTCACAAAAGCAAAGTTTGTGGGGAATAATAGCCATTTTCTCTTCTTTTCAGGCATACGCAAATTAGGAAATAACACTTACTACCCAGGAACAAAAACATATAAAAAAATTGTTACACAGTGAGCTATTTACATTTTTCCAGGTAAAGCCTACTGATCTATGTATCTCTATTTCAGAAGCGACCTGGCCACAAATGATAGCCCAACGAAGTGGCTTATGTGTTTATAGCAGCCAAATACTCTAAACGCACGTTTTTAAATATGGAGGAGAAAAACCGGAGGACCTGGAGAAAATTTCATGCAACCACATGGAGAACTTGCAAACTCCAGGGTTAGGATCGAGCCCATGCCCTCCTGTATACCAGGCGAGGTAGTTAACATTTCGGCACAGTGGCGCCCTTGTTGTAAACCCACGAGTCAACCAGTTTTTGCGCCTCTTGACTTGTGGAGAATGTTCGTGTCTAGGGAGGGAGGCCGTTGTTTTGGGATTCTAACAAAAGGGTGACTATCGCTGGTGTGCAGCCACTGATTTCTAACTTGTTTTACTCACGGTCTGAGGAAAATGAAAAGCCATTTCACCCAACGGTATGTTACTCCTTTGTTAAAAAATACCCAAATAAGTTTTACCCCGCCAGGGATTTGATGAGAATCTATTGGCTTCACAAGTCATTCTTTCTGTGCCCTTCTTCAGGGGGCATGTCCGTTGGATTTGTGGTGGATTTTTGTTAAAATTGTGATTATATAAGCGAATAAAGTGCTTTATCAAAACCACACATGCACACAACACAATGACAATCAAACATTCTACGTTTCACTACCTGCCAAGGAGCCAACGTGTTTATTTTATTTCATGGTCAATATATCGAAAAGCACGATGGGAATCCATAAGCCAAGTCTATTTTTAGAACTACCTGATAGGAAACACGTGATATTACATCAGGTGTTGTGGTAATGTCATACATTTACGTAAATTAAGGACGTGTTTGTGGTTGATATCACATTACTGTATTTTTAACGCCATATCCTCCTGCATTTACAGAAGGTACGAAGAAAGGTTGAACCCGTTTGTGATACATTTTCTTACTAACTATTGTAGGTTAAATACACACATCTTGGTCAGGATTTTAACTATGCGCATTGTTCTTATGGGGTCATAAATATGTGCACTGCTTTGTGGGAAGTCAATCGGGGTAGACTAGGGGTCGGCAAACCAAAATAATAAGAAGATACTTTTTTTCAAGTTCGGTAAAAAAAACACCTCAATAGTTCAGGAGCTGCAATGCAAGTGGTGTATACGAGACATTGGGTCCTTAATAAATAGCGTTACGAAGCAGTCCTTAAAGAGCTGCAGGTTGCTGGCCGCTGGGGTCAGAGTGAATGGCTATAACCATGGAAATGTGTAATCTCCACCGCTGGTTCGGGGTTGCGAGTGGAGGGAATCAGGGCCCTCTTGTTCGCTTGAGCAGCAGGCCCCACAGTGACGGTGGCTCGTCTTTGATCACCGCTCCGTCCCCGCACCCGCCTCCTCAGCTCGCTCTCAGTAATGCAGCTCTGTGATCTCAGCAAAATTGCCATTTCCTTCTGTGCGTACGTTGCAGAATTTACGTTTCGCCTCTGATGTGCTCTCCAGTGTTTGTGTTTGTCGTCGTGTTGATGACTAATACCTCACCGGGTGTTATTACGCGTCCGTTTAACGTGAAAATAAATGTTGTGACATTTTCAAGCGAGGTATATTTTTACGTAACAATAATTTTGCTACATTTATTCGATTTGCATCTCTTCCAGGTACTGAGAAGTGCATGCGCATGGAAATGCAGCGTCTAGTACTGCACTTTGATTAAACTGTCAACCATTATCAGATTATGACAAAACAATGTTACAGTGTGTTTGTATGTTGAACTTCCCTGTGCCCCGTATGTAGCCATCCGTGCTTAATCGAAGGTGCGGGGAAGGGCAACAAATGGACATACAAGTTAATTGAACAAAGGCTGAAGATGTAAAACGGATTGTAAATTCCAAAGATTCTGCGGCAGCAGTTTGACGGTCCCGTAAATACATCAGCCCTTTACAATTTCAAGGTCCAACTTAAAAGGTCAAATGTAATTAAATGTAGACATTTACAATTGTCTTACGACAGCGCACCTTTGGCATGGCAGTCGATGCACGGGACGCAGGGCAAGCAATGCGCCGAGATTTACTTCTGGAGATCTTCAAACGTTACAGCCTCTGTTGGAAGGCCGTAGCCATGGAGTCAACATTGGGGGGGGGGGGTGACCAAATCTTCCAGGGGGTCTGGGGGTCCCCCCCCCCCCAGAAAAAAAATAATCTAAATTTGAAAACGAATTTCCTGCCATTTCCTGCCTAAAATAAAAAAAATTTCACTAACACATACGATGGACTTTAAAAAAATGTATTTTTAACAATAATGTCTAATAGTGTATTGTTCATAATCAACGTATTGTATTACATTGCTCTGTTTGTTCTTTTTTACCCTTTCTTGTTTCATTGTATGTAATGGCAGAGATTAGGGATTAATAAAGTACAACCATAACCACAATCATATAAACAGAAATACATTTTACAGAAATATATTGGGGGGGGGGGGGGACATTTTGAGCATATTTGAATATTGGGGGGGATGTGTCTCCCCCAATATATATTATAATTACGGCCTTGACAAAACTGCTTGCACTTTAATCAAAGCAACACTAATAATGCTATTTATCATAAGAACTATACTATACGACTATGCAATAAATGAAAGCTACTACAAATATTACACATGCAGCGCAACATAAATGATTGACACTTTACTCAGACTTCACGCGGGCTTTCTGACAAATATAACGTAATAAAGACATTAACGTGAGTTCAATACGCCCGTGGGCGCCATTGATGGTCGCTGGGTGAATGTGTGGCTAATTCACTGTCCAAGTAACTTTCAAAATGGTTGATTGATTAGCAATCGCAAATCGGCCCGTTTTCACCAAAAACGTTTGTTTCTACTCGACAGTAAGATAGCCTACTTACCACTCATATTACATTCTATTTTTTCACTTTTTAATACATCTGAAAGTAATGAAATGGAGAGACAGGACAGTGTTTGACATTGATTGTACCTACCCACAGCAGTCGAGCAACGGCTTCTGCTGGGGGCACGGCAACACCACGTGGATAAACCACACGCAGAACTGCAGTGCACCGTAATACTAGAACCGGTAGTAGTAATAATGCCAATTTGTTAAGTTTAGTTATGATTACATTTGCTAATGATTATTTCGGATGGCGGTGCGTGGTTGCCTGTCGTAGCATAGCAATTATTATTATTTTAAAATATCTTTAATATCAATATATTGTCCCCCCCAATTTATATTATAATTACGGCCTTGCTCTATTGTATCCTTTAATCGGAGTACTATATATGCAGTTTGAAGGATGGTAACCCTTTAAGAATGCGCTCGGATATGGAGGTGACAGATTATATAACAAGCAAGAGCAGTATGATCTTACTTGTTATACAGCACTTGTCTAATTTTGTCTTCGCACCAAACACTCTGTGTGAAAAGATGACACGCTGCGTTATCAAATGTCAATGTTGCATGCTGCAGTTGCTACAAGCAATAGCTCTGTTGGTGAACAAAGTGCGTGGATTTTTAGTGGCGAAGATACCACCACAACTCTTCTGCAATGCGCCCTTGCTGTGACCCGACGTCCCGTGTTAAACTAGAATCCTTTAAGTTTTACGTGGTCCGAATAATGAACAGCCTTATATAATTTTGAACCACAGGGCTCTCAAATGCAAACACCTGGCGAAGTGCATCGTGTTTAACGTGGAGAATCCGACGAATTCAGGAGTGTGTAATTACCGTACGATAGCTGTGATTTATATTGCAGTCATGGATACCATTTTTGCCTAATGGTTTTGAGGTACAATAGAGGTATTATTATTCATGCATATCACTTTGTGATAATTATCACACAGATGTACCATGTAGAACATGTGTTGCCTTCAATCGGCCATATCTGCATTTATAGCAAGACTGATATATAAAGAGTGTGGATGACATTTCTGCTATTGCTGAAAACGTGGAGGCTGTTCAACTGCACAATCTACTTAAGGCCGCAATGTGAAAACGCACATTTAGGAATCCCATGCATTTCCTAGATACTATGCAGCAGCCGACTGTTAGATGTTTGCGTTTGTGGTCCAACCGTTTCGCTGACAGGCACCGATTATATCTGTCTGCTTTTGGGAGATTAGGGCCTCACACTTCAGGCTGAGGGCTGTCAGTGAATGCATCGGCGTTTTTTTTACCACGGGTGAGATTTGCCGCTACACATTTTGATTATCGCCTCGAGCCCAAGGCACAGAAGTGGTCCCCCCACTCAACCATGAAGAGGGAGGTGCGGGATGGGAATGCTGAGCGTATATTTGAATGAATCTTGACTTAAAGCTTTCGTGACTGCAGGAATTCATATTCTTTGGGTCTTTCGGTAAAGTCACGTAGATAGGTTAAAAATTAACAAAGTAAACAAAAGAACGCCCGAAGACGATCGCTTGTGTTGCAATTGAAACGTTGTTGTTTTTTGTTTCTTTTGTTAATTTTGAACCTATCTACGTGACTTTACCGAAAGACCCAAAGAATACTTATTTTTTCATACTTTCGACGACAATTGTGCCGCGAACATCCGATAAAATTAATAAAGACAAATGAATAAAATTCCTCATTGAACGAACGGGTGGCTGCCACTGGAACATGTTACATGGAGTGAATTGTTCATGTCTGGCAGCCACAAAGTAACGTGCAACAGTGTTGCAGT